CACGTAGCTGAAGTTGCGTATCTTAGTTCGAACTGGGGGGTTAGTGTGGACCAGCCCTAAAGCAGTTGTCTGTGGTTAACCAGGTATGCTATGACAAGGAAGAGCATATCTCTAGTCTTGAGATTGTGAAAAATAGCTGTTTGTCTAGTCAGAAAAGCAGTTTATATGTTGAAGAAATTTCTGAATGTCTGTCATAATATCTCAGAAGTGAATCTGGAATTGGATGAAGCACAGAAAGAACTCATTGCTCAGGAAAATATTTCTCTAGAGCAGATTAAAGTTGATGTTCAGGTTAAAGCCCTAATTGAGGAAGGAAAGGGCAGATTTTTGCGGGTGATGGATTGTTGACAAGTGAAGCTTATAACAGTAAGTTTGAACAATGTAGAAGCAATTTGCTTAAAGTGGCTCAGTATGATGAGCCACTGTCTGTGAAAAGCTGCAGTTTTTCTGTTGTGGGAAATGTCCCAGTTGCTAAGTGTCAAAAAAATCTCAGATAACCTTTCTTTTAAAGACTTCAGTGTGGGGGGCTGAAGAGAAGGTTTAAAGGGAGAGATTGACATAGAAAATGTAGATGAGCCTAGGCAGACTTGTGAGCTGATGGCTTTGTATAGTCAGCGGTGTGGGAAAACAATGTTAGCGGGACATAAGTATCCCTATGCCTTACGTGCTACCAGTGCGGAGAGTTGTGACCAGGAAGGAAGTGCTCCTAAACCTGTGTCTGTTAGGGGCAATGACTTGCCTATGGAGAGTTTCTCCAATTGTTTGTCTGGTGCAAATAGTGCGCCTGCTGAAGGAGGGTGTATCTCCAGTCCTTTGTTTTTGGAGCAGACAGAAGGAGCCTCTCAGTTTATGCTGGTTGAGCATTTGTCAGTTGTCCCAGAGTTTGTTCTGGACTTAGCTGAAACCCAGGGAGGAGTGTTCCTAAACTTGTTTCTGTTAGGGAAAATGACATTATCACTAAGTTGCATCTGATTAATGTCATAACTAGGTTCCAGGGACCGGGCGATTCTGGTACTTCTATCTTGCCTGTTGCTAGTGCGTTGCTGGGTAAAGATATGACAGCTCTGTTTAATCAGGTTGATGTGACCAGAGCACAAGGGAAGCATGAAGGTGACTTAACTGTGTTACCCACTACCGTTGTAGAAACTTGGAACAAGGAGGGAATGATGGTCCCTAAGCTTCTGTGTGGTAACCTGCATGTTGCCAGTGAGAAAAGCTGCAGAGGGAAGGCAAGTACCATGTGTATGGATCCACTGACCTTGCTTTAGAAAGATCCAGCATGGCTAGCTTAGAGAAGGTTCCAGATGGAGTGAAAATTGTTAGGGAGTTTGAACAGCCCTATAACCAAGTGACTGTGCTTGGCCAGCATATTGGGGAGAATATGTTGCTGGAACATGAATGTCTCCTTGATGATTCTTTAAGTGAACAGTTTGTGTCTCAGGTTCAGAGGGGAAACTGGGTAGCTGAATCTGCAGAGCAGAACAGTCTTATGATTGAACCCTGAAGGATGCAGGAGGGGCAGAAAAACACTCACCCCTATGTGCTTTGGATATATAATATATGGAGATATACCTATCTCATTGAACTGGAAGGGACCCTGAAAGGTCATCAAGTCCAGCCCCCTGCCTTCACTAGCAGGACCAAGTACTGATTTTGCCCCAGATCCCTAAGTGGCCCCCTCAAGGATTGAACTCACAACCCTGGGTTTAGCGGGCCAGTGCTCAAACCACTGAGCTATCCCCCCCCCCTTATAGTCTCATAGTCTCTTAGTGCACTCGAGTACATCTGATTCCATGTGGAAGCAGAGATTGGTAATGCAAGGACAACAGCACCCTGCTTCTAGGGCTAGAGAAAATGGATGGTATCTCTTTAAGAAAGAGTCCAGCCTTGGAATAGATAACAGATGAGAATTTGAAAACTAGTGTCTGGGTAGATGCAAATTATCTTGCTGTCAGAGATGGGAGTAGGGGGATGGAGGGGAGATTTGCCTATAGGTGTTTGCATAGAGGATACACCTGGCCAGAGTTTGTAGGGATAAATTAGCCATTTTCAAGAACTCCTAGCAAGATATGAAGGTACAATCCACTGTTGATCTAACCAAATATTACCATGGGTTGTAAAGGGATTCAGTAACATTGCTACATCCACAATAAACCTTACTAAGAAAAAGCCTGTTATACTAAAACATGATTTTGATAAACCATTTGTTATACACTGATAATTCTGATGTTGAACTGAAAGCTGTAATAATACATAATCAAGAATGAGAATTACTGTGATGCATTAAGCAGTGTCTAGGACACTGCACCCCTTTCTGCATCAATTTTGCATGGGGGAAGTGTGATGCTGTATGAAATAATGTTAGACTTTATGATATTATTGATATCAATATTATAAGATTGCAATGAATCTCACCAGATACGCTGTGGAAGGTATCAGTGATTTGCTGAGTATGATAATCTTGTCTCGTCTTTGTATTGTGAATTACAAATGTGTGTGATATATCTGTATTTCAAACTGGTGCTGTTTGTGGGTGAAACCCCCAGACAGATTGGCATCAGCACTATCCAGTATGCTTGATGGCCTATCAAAGGCAATCAGCTATACAATGAACCCATTAAGAGAAGGCAGCGGTTACACCTATGAGTCAGCAGGACATGTAGGGTAGAGTCATGTCTGTGAACAGGGGCAGGGTCGGCTCTAGCTTTTTTGCCGCCCCAAGCACGGCAGGCAGGCTGCCTTTGGCAGCATGCCTGTGGGAGGTCCCCACTCCCGCGGATTCGGTGGCATGCCTGCAGGAGGTCCGCCGGTCCCGTGGCTTCAGCGTACCTGCCACCAATTTGCTGCCAAAGCCGCGGGACCGGCGGATCTCCCGCAGGCAAGCCGCCAAAGGCAGCCTGACTGCCGTCCTTACAGGGACTGGCAGGGTGCCCCCCAATGGCTTGCTGCCCCAGGCTTGGAGCGCTGGTGCCTGGAGCAACCGCTGACAGGGGACTGCAAATACCCATGTGCTGTGAGTTTTTGTTTGGGACAAAGGAAGTACAAGGCACATGGCAAAGGATATAAAAGGCATCTGCATCTTCTCCATTCTGTCTTCAGTCATGCTTCTCACCTCTGGAGTAACTTCTCTACAAACTGAAGCCCTGAACAAAGGACTCAATGACCTATCCAAGCTTTGGGTGTGTTGCAGAGGGACTCTACAAGCCAGCAAACTCACCAATACTCACTGGTGAGCTGGAGCCAGTTCGCGGGAACTGGTTGTTAAATTGTCCAACCGGTTCCAAAAGGGCTTCTAAATTTAACAACCAGTAAGTTGAAGTGATCCAGGAGCGTAGTTAGGGGGGGAGCAAGGGGAGCAGCTGCTCCCCTTGTGCACATTATCCAAAAGTGGCGCCTTAGGCGCCAACCCTGTGAGTGTTCCAGCTCCCCGCCCCACGCCCCATCCCCAGATCACCTCTGCCTTCTCCTCCTCCCCTGAATGCTCCGCCCCACTTCTCCTCCTCCCCCTTGCTTCAGTTCAGTTCAGTTCCCAGCTGTTCGCACGGGAAGCCTGGGAGGGTGGAGAAGCGGTGCGGCGGCTTCGTGGTCAGGCCCAGGGAGGCGGAGGCGGAGCGGAGGTGAGCTGGGGCGGGGGGACCGGCCGCGCCGCAGCAGGTAACCTGGGGGGCGCACAGGGGAACCGCTCCCCGCCCTAGCTCGCCTCCGCCTCCCTGGGCCTGAGCGCAAAGTCGCCGCTTGCTTCTCATCCCTCCCAGGCTTCCCGCGTGAACAGCTGATTCGCAGGAAGCGGGGGGGCTGCGAGCTCGGCCTGACCTGGAGCTGCGCGATGGTGGCGTGGCATGGCTGTAGCGCCGCCAGCCACCTCCAGGCAGCGCGGTAAGGGGGCAGAGAGCTGGGGGGGGGGGTTGATAGAGGGCAGAGAGTTCAGGGTGGTGGTCGGGGGTGGATAGGGGTCGGGACGGTCAGAGGGCGAGGAACAAGGAGGTTGAATGGGGGCAAGGGTCTTGGGGGAGCAGTCAGGAAGGAGGGGGGGTTGGATGGGGCGGTGGCAGGCAGTCAGGGGCAGGAGTTCCAGGGGCAGTCAGGGGACAGGGAGAAGGGGTGGTTGGAGTGGGGCAGGAGG